GTGCCTGTCGCTGCTACCCTGGGACCGTTTCTCGGCCTGGCTGCACTGCGTGTGTGTGGTGGGCTTCGACCTGGAGCTGGGCCAGGCCGTGGAGGTACGTGAGGCGGAGGGAGCGCGGTGGCCGCCTGGCTTCGGCGGGGCGCCGCGCACGCCTCGGTGGGCTTGTGGGCACCGTTCCCTCCGGGGGCGGGCGGCTCTGCGGCAGGGCCCCGCCGGAATCGGGCACTTCCTCTGGTCCCGGTGTTGCACGGCAGCGGGGGAAGCTCGGCGGTGTTTCGAGAGAAATGTGATTGTGCAAAATCCCAAAAGGCGACTGAGGGGAGGGAGCGTGCTTCAGCGAGGTCTGACATAGCGGAGAGAGCGGGAGGGAGTGTTTTGTGGGAAAGCCTTTGCCAGCGAGACAGCTGTTACGGAGCGTGAGGTGAGTTTAATTATTTTCAAGCAACTGTTTTCATTATGCTGGTTGTCACGTCAGTGTGCCATTGTGAATTGTTTTCATCTCGTGCCAAGATTTGTATTAAATACATTATCAGCTTTCTTTATATACGAATAGCACTAACTTCCATGACATCTAGATGTTCAAGATTTTAAGAGTATAATAATAGCGTGAATGCAAGTAGTCTTCATAATTAACAGTTTTCTCCAGATCTCTAAGGTATGCAAATAAATTATCTAAATGTTTGAAGCATTTTCCTTGCACCATTAAATGAATGACAAGCTGTGATGATGTGTTAGTGACGTTGCCACAAACTGCAGGTTTTTTTAACTCCCTGCTGCTCTTTGCCATTTTGTGCAACAGGCAAACATCTATGAAATTGCATGGTGGAACTGTGTTAGGGAACTGATTGGGCTGAAAAATGAACTAGAAAGAATAATTATAATTTGGATCAGTTTCACGTCCTGTTTCACCATGTTCACCGCATGACTGTGCAGCAAACAGTTGATGTGCAGGGAAAAATGTCTTGTCTTTCTCTTTTTTTTTTTTTTTTTTTTTTTTTTAAAGTGGTGTTAGCATAAATGTATGGCAGACTGGCCTAAAATTCAACTAAGCTAGCTATTACGATATTTAAAATACATAATTGGTATGCATTATTGGCTTCAAGAGAAATGCAAATAAGAAACCAGCACACTGTGCTGATTATCTGAGTTATATTCGCCTGATATTATAAGGTGGTGTTAGCAATAAAGAAAAGAATTGCCTTAACCTGTGACTGAAGCAGATAATGTGCTCAGTGACTGAGGGAAGCACAAAGTAGCCTCTGTCTTGTCTGCAAACAACTGTTAACCATCCCATTAATTTTAGTTGAATGGACACATGAAATGAAACTTAAAATGTCTACATAACTGAGGCCTGAGTTTTTTCGGTTATGTTGCTGCAGGAGGAATAATTAGCTTCTAGTTTCAATTGGAATCCTTAACAATTAGGTTACTTAACAGTACAGAATATTAAAAGACACGGGAATGCAAAGCAAGCACTTCTGTGGTTGCGCACACACACACAAAAGATAATGTTTTATTTCTTTCTTGGAAACTACTTAGACAGAAGCAGCTCTTTGCTCAAATCTGCAATTCTAGAAGAAAGGTTTTATGACTGTGTTTGAGGGGAAGAGTTCCAAAGTAGTTGCCAAGGTTATATTTCCTCCAATAACCACACTTAATTTTTTTACCTACAAATTGGGCTTTTTTGCTTTATTTCCTGTCCAGCAAGTTAGATTATTATTTCTGGGGGGGAGTAAAATACACGTAAAGGACATTTAGATTATGGAGGCAAACATTTGGAAACTAGGAAGTGATGGTCTCCACTACTTCTGCTTCTTTGTGTCTCCCTTGCAGTCTTGTCTTTTCCCCTTTGCTTTTGTGCTTTTGATAGGCAGCTTCATCTTCAACACCTTCTGGTGATGAACAGCAGGCATAGCAGTAGCTCGCAGGAATGGTGTTCGTGGTCTTTTCAATTTGGATTTCTTTAGTAAGGTTGCTCAGAACATTGTGAAATCTGGTAAAACTTCACCTGGGCTGTGCTTACTTTCATTATCACTGCATCATTCTGACATGGCCACCCATGCAGGTCAGAAAGGCTGGGCAGATGTGACAGGATAGAGGTAACAGTTACAACTGTTTTTACTCCTCTTCCTTCGACTTCTGGGAAGATACACTGGCTAGTGAGGAAGAGGAGTATGAATTCAATTCTGGTCTGTACTCCAATCATCTGGCTAGATGCAGATCATTTCAGCATCATTCAACTGCTGAAAAAGGTACATTTGAGTGTATTGCTTAGCATAAGATAGCATAGGAAAATGTTAAGAGATTAAAAAAAGATGATAGGTTTACTAAATGCAGTATGCAGGTGTTTCACCCATATACCTACTTTTAGCTTTAGTTATACTAATAGTATGTTGTGTGCCTGGACATCATTGGATAGAGGACTGAGGGAAGAAGAAATGAATCGGGGACTTTATGGCCAGGGGACAGAAAGCCTGCTTAGTCAGAGACCAGCCAGTGGATATATTTATTGTTTTCTGTAGAGTAGGATAGCATTACATTATCAGGAGGTACATTAATTACATTCAGTCAAACAAGATTAACTTAGATAACTGGATGTTAGCGGTATGGTAATACGAGGACTGTAGACTAAGTGTTCTTGTGTTGAACTGATGTTCTTAGAGAAGTTCCCATCTATGAAAGCACTGAAACCTTTGAAACATAATGTTTGAATTTATGTTGAATTTCCTTTGCTTACAAGCTAGCCACCCATTTCAGTAGTTTTGAGGGTTTTTTTTGAGCAGCTTTTTAGATGAAATTTAAGTATCTCGGGTTTGTCCTCTTTCCTGTGTGTTCTTTTCTCACTTACTTGCATAGTCACTGATTTTGTACATCCTTTTTTTTTTTTTTGATTTTGTATCCTTTTTTTTTTTTTTTTTAATTATGGTGTTTCCGTATCTTATATTGTGTTGCATCGTTTTTGATTTCTCCATTGTAAAAATATATTAAATAAATGTACTTTTTTTTCTGTCAGTACAAATGTCATGGCTTTTTGAGTGTATTCCTTGAGCTTTCACAGTTCCCAGCTCTCATTTGGGGCCAATGTTCATCCTCCAAGAGTTAGTATTCAGATGGTGTTTTATATAGAGGGTGTTTTGAATTTCGATTACTCTCACCTAACTATCCGTTGCAACAGATTTCAGACAATAATGTGTTGTTGGCTTTCTGTGGAACAATCTACTGCATTTCGTATGTACAAGTTAAATCTAAAGGGTGTAATCTTGCTCTCCTTTGAGACCTGTTGCACCAGAAACCTCAAGTACTCTGAATCTTTTAATGTATCTGTATCGTCTCCAGCTGGCATCCAAAATACCTTGTAAAGATGGGTGATCAAGTTAGCTTAAAAGCATATGAAAAATAAGAACAGAGACGTAATATTAATAACTTACCATTGAAAATAGCCTAAGGCTAGGCAGGTGTTTGAGGGTTGTATCATAAAAATATTTAATAGAAGCTTACTGCTTATACCCAGTTTATTTTAAAATAAAATAATACTTTTTTCCTGTAGGTAATATATCCTCCACATTCAAAACTCTCAGATAAAGAGGTAAGTCATGGTTGCTGTAGAAGTATATAATTTGTTTTTAGTTTAGTAATTTCAGGAAATATAATGGCTCTCTTTTCTTTTCCCCACCCTTTAGAAAACCAATATTTGCTATTTGTCTTTTCCAGATTCTAATTCAGGTAAGTGCTTCCTTCACTCTGTAGTCATGTGTTGTTGGACTAAGCTATGTTAAAAAAGATAGAGGTTGACAGTATGAATTCATGTTTTTAGATTAAATACTTATATGAATATCTTAATATTACAATACAGAAAAGTTGGAAATAAGGTTAAGTATAAAACTGTAATTGCAGTAGGGTTGGAGAAATCTTTATTTTATGTAAATGAAATATCAGGAATGTGAATGTATAAGACCTTCCAGATGACACACATGCAGATGTTTCAGAATACTTTGTAAGTAAGGAATGAACACCTGAATCTTGCTTTTCAACAAAATAATAATATTGTCATAGTAGAGAGAACTGTAGGCACAGAATTTGAATGGTTTAATAAAGCAAATGGAAGGGATATGGAACCATCTACTCCTAATGGAGTAAATGTGTATTTTCTAAATTCTTGTAAGTGAAACTGACTTTTAAATTCAAAAGCATTTAGAAAGAACAGTTGTGAAGGGAAAACCTAGGCTATCTTTTATTTTCTCTTTTCTTGATGCTTCTGTTGCTGTGTGTGGTCCTGCTTGCTAAATTCTTCTTTAATCTAAACTTCTACTGTTCTGCTGCCAAAGAGAAATTGGAGGCATGTGGCTGATGACTTGGACCACCTGCAAAAAGATATGGCAGAAGTACATACACTTCCTTTAACATTTACTTCTTTACAAAAGTCAAAACCTGTAGTGACAGACTTGTTCCTATAACTGCTCTTACTCTGTACTTTTGGTTGCTCTGGAGCATAACAACTCTGATATGGGGTGATGCAGATGTGTGCTTTTAATATGTGTGTGAGCTCTCTCATGTAATTTTGTTGTCCCCAACGCGGGCTCGTTACCCGGTACGCAACACCGATTTACACACCAAGGCGAGGTATTTCCATTTCTTTTATTCTAGTTGGCGCAAAGTAGGGAGCTAGGTGGTAGCCCACAAAAGACTAGCTCTCCGATTATCAAAACTTCACGCTATTTATATTCTATCACCTATTGGTTAAATGATTCTCTCACTTCTTATGCTAATTAGTCCACATGCTCAGTCTTTCTCTTCTTTTGGGTCAGAGGGTTTCTTGAGTCAGTGGGACGTGAGTCGGTGGTCGTGATCTCCCCTTGTTGGAATTAACTCTCCTTCACCTTTAGTTTCATGCTTCAGCTGTTGCAGCCAAATTCCTGTGGTTTTGCTGATAAAACAAGTTATCTCCTAACAGCCTGATTTATACAAGCCAAGATGCCCTGGTTGTCCGAAATATTTGATTTATCTCCCTTGGGATTAGATGCCATGCCAAGTATTTACTTCGAACCTCCCCAACCTTGAATAGTTAACAAAGCACTGGACAAAATAATTGCAACATTAATCAATGGCAGCGTTCTGCAAACTTGCATCAATTTTACGAAGTATCTTGGCTAATTTTTCCTCTTTGTCTTAATGTCATTAAAATTAAGATATTTTCTCTGTTCTTGATATCCTGTATGTAAATAGAGGAAGAGCTTCTTTCTATTATTGAAAGAGAAGATGAGTTAACTGTATCTTCTTACTACTCTTGTTGTTAATGGTTATAAGTCTCCAGCCTTCAAAAGGTGTATTGACGGTACAAAATAATGCGTTAGGAACAAAGGCTGATTTTTTTTTTTTAATTTTTTTTTTTCCAAATAAGAGTGGTAATAAAGTTATTTTAGGCAGAATAGGTATATGTAAGGAGGGTTTACTTTCAGCAAGGAAAAAAACCCCACCTTTTTGCTTTTTATAATGTCCCTATTAAGAAGCTTTAGGTTCTTGATCGTTCTTGGTAGGCTGAAGTTTCAAATGATGTAGAGGGATTACCTATGTAAAACCTGCGTTCTAGAAATTAGCTGGGAGAGTATGCTATCTGTTACGATTTATTTTTTCATCATAGGCCATAATATAAAAGGAAAAGCTTTGTGTAATGTAGCAGTGAAGGAAATTATTAGCTTGCAGCTAAATTTGACATCAGTCTTTCCTAGGTTTTCATGGCTCAAAAGATTAATTCAACTTTTTTTTCCTCTTACAAGTATGAATAGATACCATTCTGGGACTTGTAGTGGCTATGAAAGGAGGGGGAAAACTTGATTTTATCAGGTACTAGATCATGACACTTTTTGTGTTTTTAAGCTAAGTTTCCTAGTACAGTTATCTTTAAAATAATGCTTTTGCCTTTTCTGCTTGGAAAGTTGAAGAAAGAACAGACATTTACCAGCCTTTTCAAATTCTACATACCGGAATAGCTTGTTACATAAGAAGCTGTCATATTCTGAATAATATTTCAATATATTAATGATTAAGGGTAATTTACTTCTAGGTCTTCTGTGTATAGCTTTTTATAATAGCTTTTTTTTTGCTTTGGATGAAGGGAACTAGCTATGAAAACTTGGAGCAGATATTTAGTGCTTTGTTATTGGCATGTGCAGTAGGTTTTTTTGTTATGATTGGATCCATATTGCTAAGCACTTGCTTGAGTTACCTGTTTGAATTAGATGGTTATCCCATCATACAATGTTTTGCTACTGTTGGTTTTGTCTCCATGCATTGTGGGTTTCCTGCTGCAACTTCAAGGGGTTCTAAGACTCAGACCTGAATGCTCTGAACGCGTCGGTATTAATCCACACTGCCAGTTGCACAGCCAGTGAATTTGGCTGAGGGTTTGGGCTGTCTGTGGTTTCTGTAGCAGTACGTATGTGGCTGAAAGAGAAGATGAAATTGAGCTTTTAAGTCTGAATAATAGTTATCTGGAGAATGGAGCTCTACCTTACTGTTTAGTCAATTAGCACTGGCTGATGTAAGACAGGACAGCTGTGAAGAGTTCAGATGATCAGTAGTGACTTCATTATTTTTTGTCCTGGAGGTCTTTGCAAGTTATATCCAAAAGCTGTAAGAGCAAAGCACTGATGAAGAAGTTAGATTCAATATGGAGAAGCAAGTGTCCTTTGCCAGCTGGAAACTTACTGCTATAACAGTAGCTGTAAGTTTAAGTCGATTGGTTTTTCTAGTCACTTACATGAGAAATTAATTTTGATAGAAATGAAGGGAAGCTTCACTCCTTGGGAGAATTACTGGGAAGTAATACTCAGTTTCACTCAGTTTTCTGCAGTTAGTTTTGCAACTTTCAAAAATACTGAGCTGTAGGCCTGCATGTGGAGTTATAAGAGATCAACATAATACACACTTGTGATGTGACTTATGTATGAACTGTTTGGCGTCAAAAAAAGGTTAAGTGCAGTCATTCAACAGAGAAATGACATGTGGTTAAGATAATCAGAACTATACAGGCAGACCAATAAAATGTGTAATAACAGTAGGAGGACAGCCATTAGTAGAGCTGTTTCAGGACATGACAGTCTAATAAACTCACTGTGAGGCAGTGACTTTTTTTCTTTTCTTGTTGAAGGTAGGCTATTTATTGTTGCCAAAGGTGCCAAATTGTTCACTTATAAAAATATAGATGGTTACAATAGCAGTGCAAGATAAATGAACCAAAACTATTTTACCTTTGGCTATAGACAAGTCCTCATGTTAAAGAAGGCTCAAACTCAGAATACTGTCTATTTTGTTGTTTATCTCTTCCCCCTATGTAGGTTGTCTTGGGGACACACAGTTTTGTTTTAGATTTCGACGGTCTCCTGGAAGGAAAGTCTCATTGTGTTGTTTTCTGGACCAATTGGATAGAGACCTACCAGTTTACTTAAAGGTTGGAAATAAGAGAAAATGAAGTTAATTTCTTCTGGGTAATGTTAATTTATGGGTCTTCATGCTTAAATTTAATGCTTGAAAAACAAAAACTCTGAACTGGATGTCCTGAAAGACAAAGCTCAACAAATGTTTTTTGTAGCATGTCACTATCATAATAATTAGCATGTCACTATCATAATAATTAACTAATAATTAGTTCCGTTAACTATTCTTTAAGTTTTCTTACTATGGGTTTTGGACTGCAAGGAATTACATTGATGAGCAGACCTGTTTTGTTACTGAATAGCAACCTGTAGATGAAATTGTAAAAACCATTACCTTACTGGAAATCTGAAGTGCTTTATAACTTTAAAAAAAAAAAAAAAAGTTGAGGTGTGTGTGTCTGTTTCCACCCTTCATTTTTTGAAGATGGAGCAGTTATCTAAAAGAGGAAGTGGCCAAAAAGTTGTTCTCAGCATGTCCTTATGGAATATTGAGGCCTCTAACTATGCTAGTGGGAGTCTGATTTTCAAACTCAATTTAGATCTGTTTATGTGGCAAATACTTGAATTCCTGCTTGTAGGAAGGATGAAGAAGATGTTTTATCTTTGAAATGTGAGAGCATGCTTCCTTAATACTCCAAGAATCTTTTATAAAACTAATACATTGAAAGACTAGTTTTTATCTTTTCAAGTCAGGGCTGTAAGGTTTTTAACTGCAAAAATCTTTAGTGCTACTTTGCAAAATTATGAGTGTTGATTTATTCCTCAGGAAATTAATTCTGTTTTTGCCTTCATGGTGTGTCAGGAGAATGTAGATATAAAAATAGTAAAGCCAGAAAGCACAGTTGTTTCCACACACTGGCGTTTTCTCTTTGAAGTACTTATTTAAAAAAAAAAAAGCCAATAAACCTTTTATAATAATAATAATAATCCTTCTAGTTTATTGTATCTAGTCAACTTTGGAGCTTGCAGGGAAATAAGCTTTTAAAAAGCATATTGAATGCTTCAGAAAGAAGGGCAGTATCAGGTTGTTGCGCTGAATTCTTTCCTTTCTTTCGCAGAAAGATCCAGCATATTACTACGGCTATGTATATTTCAGACAAGTTCGAGACAAATCATTAAAAAGAGGCTACTTCCAGAAGGTAATTTCAGTTCTTTTAGGAAAATATTAATTCGGAAATTAATTATTTTTCAGTGACCTCAAAGGAGCAGGAAGAATATCTTGCTCTCTTAACTAAATTCATTGTTGATTTATAGTAAATTGGTCTAATTTTATATCAGCTATGCTATGTTCCAGCTGCACAGTCAAAACAAATTTTTTTTTTGTTAAAAACAAAAAGTTGGGAACTTTTGGGAGTTGTTTGTTTGCAGTTGCCTGTAGTCAAATGTGTGGTTGGCTTGTGTGTGTGAGAAAAATCACACTTGATGTTCTCTGAGGATAACCAGTAGAACTGAGGAAAAGGGTTAACTTAAAATTGTATTTTTTGTTTTGTTACTTTTTATTCCAGTCACTGGTCCTCATCAGCAAACTACCTTATGTCCATCTCTTTCGCACCATGCTTAAGCAAATAGCACCAGAATACTTTGAAAAAAGTGAAGCTTTCCTGGAAGCAGGTAGTGGTACTATTATGTTGTTCTGGAAGAGCTCCTATAATATCACATACTTCTTCTGGAGAAATAACAAACACCGCTGTCACATTCTAGTTTGCATTTCTGTCTTCTTGCAGGGTAGAGGGTTGAAACTTTAGCAAACTGGCTTGATTTCTACATCATTGAACAGAGCTAATCTAGGGTTGGACTCAATGATCTTAAAGGTCTTTTCCAACCTAAATGATTCTATGATTCTAATTTTGGATACTGCATGGGAGAGTTGAAGCTCCCCCCCCAAGAAACATCTAGGATTTTGTCGTATGTTTTAGGACCAGCTGTTCAGCACAAGTAGCTGATGGCAATTCTTAATTTGCACTCTTCACAAATTGAGTCCCTTTGGGTATTCTGACAACTTCTGTTAAGCAACTGTACAAATGTCATCTTGAGTGCAGGGTTTTTTGTGTGGGTGGTTATTTTGTTTGTTTGGTTTGTTTGGTGTCGGGTTGTTGAGGTTTTTTTGGGGTTTTTTGACCAAAGAGAAAAAGCAACAGAGCAGCACTGGTAACAGGTGCTTCAGCCTTAGTTGTAGAACTTTAAGAGCCAGAGAGGGCCAAATGGGAAAGTTATTTGCTCTTTGCCTGGAAGTGCTGTGTTCTTTTTACTGTGTCTGCTCTATACAAGATAACGTGTCTTTGTGCTTTCACTGAGCAGCAATTTGTGGAAATGATTCTTGATGAAGGAATTGTATTTTTTAATCACCTGTAGATAAACAGTTTTTTTTGACAGGTTGTATTATGAACAAAATAAGGTCTGCAGAAACCACTAGAATTAATAATTATATTCATAATTGTTTACAACAAAATGCTGAAAAACTTCCTAGCCAAGCTAGAAAGCTAGCTTTTCCCTCAACTACTTGTGTTTATCTGTTCTGCTGTAGCTAATGTACATAAATGTATGTTCTTTTCAAAGTTTCTTAATATGTACTTTCATGGTTTCTCAACATTTCTTCAACTAATTGCAAGTCTAGTTGCTACAAAAAATGGAAGACAAGAGGATACTATTTTCTTGAAATGAAAACCTTTATAGTTCTAATGAAATGATACATTAAGAATGTCAAAAAGGCTGTAAAACTTTAGAGTATAGAGTGATCAAGAGATAAGTAGAAATGTTGTGGGCTGTCAGCACTAATTTAAAATTGCAGTGTGCACAAAGGTGACTGCAATATCATGGGTTATAGCATATATAAACTAGTTCTAAATTATACTCTTTTTAAGTTTGTAGTGATGTTGATCGTTGGCCACCACCAATTCCAGGGAAAATACTGCATTTGCCTATTATGGGTATTATAATGAAGGTAAATACTCCTGCACTTTTCTCTGAGGGTGTTTTCCCCTCCGTTTACTGTATAGGTACTGTATTCTGCTTTGTTTTCAGTGTCTCATACTTCAGAACAGGAATACATGTATACTCCACTCCAGAGTGAAGGTCCGGGAGATCTTGATTAGGTTCCTTGATTGGGGGGAGGAGGGGAGGATCTTTTATGGTGCATAGGTTAATATGTAATTTTTGTAGATATTAAAAAGGTGTTTCAGTACAACTACTAATTGCAGTGTCTATATTATCCTTCTGGAATATGCATTCTAGGAGACTTTAATGCTAATTATATTTGTCAAATCAAACATTAAATAACACTTGAAAATACTGAGAGTTAAGTTGTAGTCAAGCAAATTAAATATATTGATGAAAATCATTCTTGTTACTGAAGTTTGACAAGTAAAAATCTTTTTTGGCCACACCAGAAATTAATTTCTTGGTCTGTTGATAATTTTCAATGAAAGTGAAATATGTCTTAAGAAAGCTATTAGAGAAGTTATATCTAGTGCATGGGGAGAAACTGTAGAGGTTAAATGGTGGCTAAGAACTGGGCCTCTGGGAGCCATAGCATCTTCATATGAAATGCAATTAAATGGATTTGATGGATCCAGAGGTTACAGTTGGAAGTACATTCTTAGCAGATACTCTCAAGTTTATGGCTAGATGCATGTGCATCACGAGGGAGAGGAAGGAGAAGTTTTTGAAGCTGTTCTGGAGGCACAAATTTAATAAAGCAGTGTTCTGGATGCTGAATGATAATGATGAGTGTCAGATATGTCTTGTTTGGGTATTGCCTGCATTTATCTCATCAGTAATTCTTATCCATGAGAGTCGAAATTGCGTTCGTAAACTGAGTGAAGCCGTAATTACCATCTTCAGTATTATTGTCCCTGGTTTTTTTACACTGTTTGGGCAGTCAGTTTTAATTGTTGTGTATAAATTACATCCACTTGTGCACACCAACTTCCAATATGATTAAATTTGTGGTACTCAAGACTTACAGATGCAGATTGTGAGGTCAGAAAAAGATATTTATGTTGTTCAGTATATTTGGATTCTGCCTCATACCCACCAGGATGTCTGATGTTTTAGGAGAGGATTTTTTCTAAAAGTAATTCTATACCACCTTAAAACCCCGTAACCTTATTTCGGATCGTTCTCTCCAACATTTAAATGTATTCTTATTGAAATTATTGTAATAGTTGTGACTAATGTTATCAATAGTCTTTTTTAACTGAACTACAATTTTCATATTCTAACATTCAATGTGCAATGTAGTACTAAATAGTATTGCATATTGATTCCTGTAGCAATGATCTGTAGTCTTTAGCAATGTACTTATTGTTACGTGGATGTTCTGTAGAGTAAGTTAAGCATGATACTACAGTATATTCTCTTTAAATGTTACATCTTGTCTGTAAATCAGCATTTTAAGTCTCTGTTGAATTCGATACAAGGAAAAAAAGTCTGTCTTTTTCTTTCAAAGTTGCGGATTCCAACATACCGTGACAAGCCTGGAACAACGCCAATAGTACAGAATATACACCAGGTAGAGATTAGATACTTCTATTGTGTATAACCCCAAGACAAAGCTAAATACCTGCCTTCATTCTTTTACTTTGAACTTGTTCATAAAAGATTGGTAGCAAATCCTCACGTACTTAGAATTCACAGTCTTTGAAACTTTGAGTGGAGGAGTCTAGAGTTGGATTCTTCATAGAAAAGGTATTTTAACGCAGTTACCCCAAGTACTTTAGGAGAGAATTATCCAGCTTCTGGAAGAGGATTGTTGGCTGACAAAATTACTGAACTTGAACATCCTTTTAATGGGTGAAACTCTAATAAACTAGGGGTTTTTTTGAGGATGAAAACCGAATTAAAAATCTTTAGGCATAAAAGATGGATATAAAACAAATCTGCCTGTGCCTTCATGTGCTGCATGGCTGTTGTTTAAAACGGTTTCAGTATTTTCTATCTTTTCTGGCTATAAGTGGTGTATGTGTTGGGGGAAATCTTGCTTTTAGCACACAAAAATAGGTAACTTGTGGAGATAATGTACATACTGCAGTAGTACAGTAGTGGTAAATAATTAGGGTATATACCATCTACCGTCTGTAAGCATTTAAGGGAAACTATTTCATTTAATATCTAGGTATTCTGATGACTAAAAAACAAGCATTGCGATGTCTTTTAGGCAGATGCTCAGATCTCTGTGGCTTTACCGACTGTTCATGAAGTAGATCTTTTCAGGTAGGTGTTTGGACTGATTGATTCCTAGTTGTGAATTCCCACAAGTCAAAGATTTATGATTCCATAACACGTATCTCATGGCTTTCAAGCTAACATTTATCAGTATTGTTTTTAATATTTTTAATATTCTTTTTCTGTAGAGCTGGCTAAAAAACAATTCAGGCTGAAAACATGCAGGCTGAAACTGCAATAAATAAACAAGTTTATTAAATGCTCCATTTTACAAGAGTATTTTATATTTTTCAAATGACTATTAAATACTACTGCAGACTTTCTTTTTATCCAGTTCTTAATCAAATACAATCAAATTTCTTCTGGTTATGTTAAGTGTATTAAAATACCTCAATCTGTTTTTAGGTGTTTCTGTCCAGTGTTCTTTCACATTCAGATGCTTTGGGAACTAGTACTGCTAGGAGAACCACTTGTCGTGATGGCACCGTCACCGTCAGAATCTTCAGAAACCGTGTTGGCATTGGTTAGGTAAATGTAGTGGAGCTTCCTAGCTAATGACCAAGTGAGTCATTGTGGATTGCAGCTGAGTGCAACTTCATTTGATCTGAATATAACAAAGCACTACAAATTTTAGAATTGCTTGTTTCTTTAATGAAATTTTGCATTGTATACATAAAACAAGCTTATACTCTTTCTACCTTGCAGTTGTATTTCACCATTAAAGTACTGCAGTGATTTCAGGCCATATTTTACCATACATGACAGTGAATTCAAAGAATATACAACTCGCACACAAGCCCCGTAAGTAAATCAAACTTTGTTGTGAAGGTGTTGCTCAAAGCCACTCATAACCATAAATCTGTTTTTAAGATACTGCTTAACTATTCTGAATTTCTATCATTAGAGAATACATTTAGATGCCTTATTTATAATATTTATCTTACAGAGTGCAGTAGTTAGCTGTTTTAAGTTTTCACTCCAGTTAGATAGGATAAAGAAGTTATGAAACAATGTCATAATTAAACTGCATTTGAGCTTCATAGGATACTTGTGTACAGAATAAGTAAAACTGCAAATATGAAAGTGGGAGAAAGTTTTGCTTTTCAATAAGGGTTTGTCTATGCAATACCAGCTCCATAGTAGCTCCTTGGGAAATTGTTCTTTAATTGTTTTTATTTTTAAGCAATGACTAAACAAAGTGACTTCTAGAATTCAACATCCATACAGCTGTTTTGTGAAGTTAATCCAGTCGGTGTCCTAGTTGAGACAATAATTTTAAAAAGTAAATATCTCTTCACTAAATCTGTTAGAAAAATGTTGTAAATAATTCAGAAATTAAAACTCTTTTTTTAAGAGCGTGAGTCTACAAAAACGATTCTGTTTGAAACTGCTTTAAGGACACACTTTTCTCCCATTTTTTTTTTTTTTTTTTTTTTTTTAAATCCTGCTCTTATTTTGAGAGCACACACCTCCAATATTTCTTATTATGTGTTATTTAAATGCAACTTGATTTGGGAATGGAGTGCCTGTGTTAGATTCACTGATCTCTTTATAAACAAATTTCTTCTAATGTCTGAACAGGCAGTGGTTGTTGTGTTGGGTTTTCTGTTTCTTTTGTTGGTTTTTTACTGTATTTTTCCTCTCAACGAAAGCATTGCCAGAGATACAGCAGTGGAAAAACCTATAAACATAGGCATTATGTTTCAGATTGTATTCCATGGGAATGGTTATGCAGTATGTAATTTAATTTCTGAAAATAATTCCATGAAGAATTTGGTTAAACTTTAGTAACCCATGTTTAAAAATTGCATCTGTTCCTCTGTAGCAAAATAGAAAGGTTGTTCAGTACATATGTTAGTATTTGAAGTAGAGCTAGAATTGCTCTGGCTTTCTTACAGTAAACAAAAAAATTTGAAAGATTGGAAATAGGCTCTTAAAGCAGTGGCTCTAGGAAGAGGAAGAATCCAGATGATACAGATTTTGTGTATTTTATTACCTTTAGCGAGAGGGGAGCAAGGAGTATTTTTCATCTTGATGTTTTGACTTACCGTGCCTTTTCAGAAATTACTTCAGTGGTTTAAAATCAGAATTGGTTCCCGTAAATATGATAGATTAAGGTTCCTAGAAGTGACCAAGTAGCTTACCAAATCTTGCTATTATATCACCAGTAGCTGTGAAACAAGATTCCTCCTGATTTGCTATCAGTTTCCCTTGACCTGGAGAATTACTATTTTTTTGTGTGTGTGTAAATGAAAGCCTTACTTGACTTTAACTCTCAGTCTTTAACCCTCCAGTTAGTGAAGGGATGTCAATTTGTGTACATTGGTCCAAACCAATAGTGTGTGAAACTTGCTTTTTGGTTCACACAAAATAGGCATGATAAGATTTAATAGTTGTGTTAAGTTAGGCTTGACTTGATCCATTTCTAGGGAGAAGGAGAGTTCCTATTGTTTGGGTTCTTTTGAGACTCAGTTTGTTTCTTACATTGATTCTTATGACCTGACCATGAAAAGAACATAAGATAAAACATCATAAATCGATTTTTTCAGAGTACAACAAAGGAATCTGTTGAGACCCTTTTTATGGATGCTGGTCTTTATCATTGTTTTGGAAGAAAGACTGTAAATCTTGTATGGTAACACTGAAAAAGTCATGAACAACATTTGCAAATCCCAATGAATTTAAATCAGTAATGCAAATGAGTTTAACAGGGTACTAGAAACAGCAAAAAAAAATCATGAAACTGAATTCAAATGAGTGGGGAAAAATACATAATATCTGGAATAAAATGTTTTCAGGTGAACATACTTGAACAGCAGTAGGACTCAGAAGTGATTTTTCTGGTGAAGGTTGAGTCAGTGACAAGCAAGAAAAGACTTCTGAGAAACTGATACAATTTCGTGCTGCTCATTCTAAGATGGAATGGAGAGATGTCTGGGCTATGGAAATAGCTATTTTCATCATATTAAGCTACAGAGCTGTGTGATCAGATTTTTGTCCTATCTGTGAATGCCTAATGAGTTTATATATATATTTATAATTAGCAAGTGGAGGGAGGAATGAAAGTCAGAAATGTTTGTAGGTTAACATAGAAATTGATGCCCAATTGCCACCATGATATAGCTGGAAGAATTGAATAAAAATTTAAAGAAAGATTACTTCTTGTATTTCTTCCCACCTTGCCTTGAGAAACAGGAAACTTAACGCTTTCTGTACACCATCCTTAAAATTTGGGATTTTTAAAACCAATCTGAAGAAATGATGATAATGTATTTTTAATATGGCAGTTCCAATGTGGCTTGCATTTATACTCTCTCCTTAGCTAATGTTTGCCTGCAAAGTGGATGGCAGCCGCTCTTCTGAAAAATATGTTAGTATTTCATCACGTTAGTGCTATAAATCCCAAATTCTGAAGCCCTGTGCTCTTACTGCTTCTTGTTCTCTGGGTGCCCCTATGCATCCTTGAAGCCAGATTCTAAGCACAGAGTAGACAGAAAAACCTGACAGGTTGTAAGCTTGGGCGCAATGCTATTAATATGGTTGTACTTCATCACTTCATAACTGCTTTTTAACAAAGAACACTGAAGTGTTGGAAAGGAAATAGGATATTAAGTGTCCCTTTTAATTTTGTCATCTGAGCAGTAGCTTTACTGAGAAGTCTCATACAAACAGCAGTCATGTTGACATACACATTCAAGTACTGAGGGTTTGTTATAATCAAAACTTGAAAAGTAGCAATTTGTCTTTCAAATATGAGTCAGATTTCTGCTCATTTAAAAAAAAACGGATAATAAATCAGATAATACCCTGTTCTCATCATTGCAAATGGGCAGAATTTAGCCAGGAGTCTAAGCAGAAGATGTCACTTTTATTCTCCACTACCGTTTTGACTTTAAGATACATCTGTCTTGCTATTTTCTAAAACTTAAAAACCTTGATAAACGTACTGTGCTCTTACATGCCACTTAAAATGCAACTCGTAAATACAAAAGGAAAATAATTTCAAGTTAAGAATTAAAGTTGACCTTTTGTATTCGTTAAGACAGAAGCTCTTACTGTCATATTTTGAACATTGTCATTATTTTTCTAGACCATCTGTCATCCTAGGGGTGACGAATCCTTTTTTTGCTAAAACACTTCAGCACTGGCCTCACATTATCCGAATTGGAGATATTAAACTTCCAGGTAAAGTACAAATATCTTCTATAATCATGTTGTTGTGGTTTAACCCGGCAGGCAGCTAAACACCAAACAGCCGTTCGCTCACTCCTTCCCACCTCCCAGTGGGGTGGGGGAGAGAATCGGAAAAAAAAAAGTAAAATTTGTGGGTTGAGATAAAGACAGTTTAATAGGACAGAAAAGTAAGGGGAAAATAATAATAATAATAATGGTAAAAGAATATACAAAACAAGTGATGCACAAGCCAATTGCTCACCACTCACTGACTGATGCCCAGCCAGTCCCCGAGCAGCAGCCCCCCCAGCCAGCTTTCCCCCAGTTTATGTACTGAGCATGATGTCCCACGGTATGGAATGTCCCTTTGGCCAGTTGGGGTCAGCTGT